TGAGGGCAGAACAGTGAACAAACAGACACTATTCTTGCCATCACGGAGCCTACATTCTAGTGTAGGAGAGAGATAAGTAAAATAAATAGGATACTTTATAAACAACTTGTTTTGTTTTTTTGGCTGTGTGGCTTGCAGGATCTTCCCCAACTGGGCCACAGCTGTGAAAGCCCAGAATCCTAACCACTAGGCCACCAGGGAACTTCTGATAGGGTACTTTATTTTATTTTTTAAAAAATATTTATTTTTTTGGCTGCATTGGGTCTTAGTTGCAGCATGTGGGATCTTTGTGGTGGCATGTGGGCTCTTCATTGCGGCACACAGGCTCTCTAGTTGTGGCACGCTGGCTCAGTAGTTGCAGCACGTGGGCTTAGTTGCCCCACGGCATGTGGGATCTTAGTTCCCCGACCAGGGATTGAACCCACGTCCCCTGCATTGGAAGGTGGATTCTTAACCATTGGACTAGCAGGGAAGTCCCCCAATAGAGTACTTTAAATGGAGATGTGCTATGGAGAAAAAAATTTGAGTTGGAGAAAGAAGGTTGAGAGTGGAAGGAGTGTCTACAAGTTTAAATAGGGGATTCAGAGTAGGTCTTATTGATAAGATGATGTTTGAACAATGAAACAATGAAGTAAGTGAAAGTAGGAGCTATGTGGATGCCTGCAGAAAGAGCTTCTAGGCAGAAGCAACAGCCAATGCAAAGGCCTTGAGGCAGGAATGAGATGAAATGAGAAAGATGCTGTGTGTGCATGGGGGAAGATTGTAGGACCCTGTAGGCCACTGTAGAGACTTTGACCTTTACTGTGAATAAATGGGGGAGCCATTGGAGGATTTTGAACAGAGGAGGGACATGATCTGACTTAAAGTTTAAAAGTATCACTCTGGCTGCTTCATTGTGATTGGTACATAACAGAAGCAAGGGTGGAAGCAAAGAAACCAGTGAGGAAGCTACTGGAATAATCCAGGTGATAGATGATGGGGGCTCTGATTAGGGTGTTAGTATGTTGGTGATGGGAAGCGGTCAAGTTCTGAACATTTAAAAAAATTTTTTTAATTGAAGTATAGTTGATTTACAATGTGTTCATTTCTACTGTACAGCAAAGTGATTCAGTTACACATATACATACATTCTTTTTCATAGTCTTTTCCATTATGGTTTATCACAAGATGTTGAATATAGTTCCCTGTGCTATACAGTAGGACCTTGTTGTTTATCTATTCTATATACAATAGTTTGCATCTACTAATCCCAAACTCCCACTCCATCCTCTCCCCACCCCCCCAGCAACCACAAGTCTGTTCTCTATGTCTGTGAGTCTGTTTCTTTTTTGTAGATACATTCATTTGTGACATATTTTAGATTCCACATATAAGTAATATCATGTGGTATTTGTCTTTCTCTGTCTGCCTTACTTCACTTAGTATGATAATCTCTAGTTGCATCCATGTTGCTGCAAATGGCATTATTTTGTTCTTTTTTATGGCTGAGTAATATTCCATTGTATATATGTACTGCATCTTCTTTATCTATTCATCTGTCTATGGACATTTAGGTTGGCTAATTATAAATAGTGCAATGAACATTGAGGTGAATGTATCTTTTCGAATTATAGTTTCCTCCAGATATATGCCCAGAAATAGGATTACAGGATCATATGGCAACTTTATTTTTAGTTTTTTGAGGAACGTCCATACTGTTTCCTATAGTGTATGCACCAATTTACATTCCCAACAGCAGTGTAGCAGGGCTCCCTTTTCTCCACACCCTCTCCAGCATTTGTTATTTGTGGACTTTTTTTTTTTTTTTTTTTTTTTTTTTGCGGTACGCGGGCCTCTCACTGTTGTGGCTTCTCCCGTTGCGGAGCACAGGCTCTGGACGCACAGGCTCAGCGGCCATGGCTTACGGGCCCAGCCGCTCTGCGGCATGTGGGATCTTCCCGCACCGGGGCAAGAACCCGTGTCCCCTGCATCGGCAGGCGGACTCTCAACCACTGAGCCACCAGGGAAGCCCTGTGGACTTTTTAATGATAGCCATTCTGAATGGTGTGAGGTGGTACCTCACTGTAGTTTTGATTTGCATTTCTCTAGTAATTAGTGATGCTGAGCATCTTTTCATATGCCTATCGGCCATCTGTATGTCTTTTTTGTAGAAATGTCTATTTAGGTCTTCTGCCCATTTTTTGACTGGATTTTTTTTAAATTAATTAATTAATTAATTGTTTTTGGCTGCATTGGGTCTTTGTTGCTGCATGTAGGCTTTCTCTAGTTGCGGCAAGCGGGGGCTACTCTTCGTTGCAGTGCGCAGGCTTCTCATTGTGGTGACTTCTCTTGTTGCAGAGCACGGGCTCTAGGTGTGCAGGCTTCAGTAGTTGTGGCTCGAGGGCTGTAGAGCACAGGCTCAGTAGCTGTGGTGCATGGGCTTAGTTACTCCATGGTATGTGGGATGTTCCCAGACTGGATAGAACCCATGTCCCCTGCATTGGCAGGTGGATTCTTAACCGCTGCGCCACCAGGGAAGCCCTATTTATTATTTTTTACCATTTAAAAATTGAAGTATAGTTAATTTACAATGTTGTGTTAGTTTCAGGCATACAGCAAAGTGATTCATATATATATATATATATATATATATATATATCCTTTTTCAGATTCTTTTCCATTGTAGGTTATTATAAGATAATTGAATATAGTTCCCTGTGCTATTCAGTAGGTCCTTGTTGTTTATCTATTTTCTACATAGCAGTGTTAATCCCAAACTCCTAATTTATCTCTCCACCCACCCTGGCCATGCTGAAGTCTTTTTTTTTTTTATTAATTAATTTATTGGCTGTGTTGTGTCTTTGTTGCTGCAAGCGGGCTTTCTCTAGTTGTTGAGAGAAGCAACTCTCAACTCTCTGTTGAGCAGAGGCTACTCTTCGTTGCGGTGTGCAGGCTTCTCATTGTCGTGGCTTCTCTTGTTGCGGAGCACGGGCTCTAGGCACACAGTCTTCAGTAGCTGTGGCATGTTGGCTCAGTAGTTGTGGCTTGTGGGCTCTAGAGTGCAGGCTCAATAGTTGTGGTGCACGGGCTTAGTTGCTCTGCAGCATGTGGGATGTTCCAAGACCAGGGCTCGAACACGTGTTTCCTGCATTGGCAGGCGGATTCTTAACCACTGCGCCACCAGGGAAGCCCCATGCTGAAGCCTTGATGCAGAATTTCTTCCCAGAGAAACCTTAGTGTTGCTCCAAATGCCTTTCAACTAACTGGATGAGGCCCACCCACATTATCAAGGTAATCTTTACCTAAAGTCAGCTGATTGTGGATGTTAACCACACCTACAAAATACCTTCACAGCAATACCTATTAGTGAATAACTAGTTACTATAGCCCTAGCTAGATTGACATAAAACTAACTTTCACACTAAGTTTGAAATGCCCATTACATATTTTGAGTCAATTGTCAGTACAAATCTGTTGTTCAGGAGGGATCTTTCCTAGAGGTATCAAATTCTTTAATTGTAGTAAAATACACATAACATAAAATTTATTATTAGTGATATTTAGCCATTCACAGTGCTATACAATCATCACCACTATCTAGGTCCAGAACACTTTCATCACTCCAAACGGACACTCTGTACTAATTAAGCAGTCACTCCCCACTCTTCCTCCCCCCAGTCCTTGGCAACCACTAACCCACTTACCTGCTTTTTGTCTGTATAGATTTGTTTGTTCTGCATATTTCATCTAAATGGAATTACACAGTATGTGACTGCTGTGTTTGGCTTATTTCACTTAGCATAATGGTTTCAAAATTTATCCACATCATAGTATATATCCATATTTCATTCCTTTTTTTGTTTGTTTTTTTATTCACTGTGTAATATCCCATTGTATGGGTATACCACCATTTGTTTCTACTTTTTGGCTATAGTGAAGAAGACTGCTGCTGTGAACATTTGTGTACAAGTTTTTGTTTGAACACCTGTTTTCAACTCTTTTGGGTATATATTCAGAGTGAAATTGCTTGGTCATATAGTAATTTTGCTTAACATATTGAGGAACAACCAAACTGTTCCCACAGCAGCTGTACCATTGTACATTCCCACCAGCAATGTCTGAGGGTTCCAATTTTTCCACATCCTTGCTAACACTTGTTACTTTCTAGGTTCTTGTTTGCTTGCTTGCTTGCTTTAATTTTAGCCGTCCTCGTGGGTGTGAAGTGGGATTTGATTTGTTTTTCCCCAATGATATTGAACATCTTTTCATGTGCTTTTTGGTCATTTTTTTGAAGAAACATCTATTCAAGTCCTTTGCCCATTTAAAAAAATTGGGTTGTTTGTCTTTTTGTTGTTGAGTTGTAGAAATATCTATTTTGGAATGAATCTCCACCCCCAGCCTCCCAGTCCCTTATTTAAAAGGCTCTGCCTCTTCTTTTAAAACCATGCATAAGCAAATAGTTTTAGAGCTGGAAGAGACCACTCCACCTCCAGGATGTTCCTTATTCCTGCAGTTTTTTGAGTTCCCAAACCTTAAAATTAGTTGTCTAAACTTAGTCCTTCCTGCTGCACACTGGCCTCTGTTTTGGCTCTGTAGATGAGAAAAATTACACAGATTTACAGATTAGATTTGAATTTAAGGATTCCAATAGATCGGAAACACAAGGTGACCCATTTAGAACAAGATCTTCAAGAAGCGCCGGGTGACTTTAAATTTCCAAGAATTAGAAAGAAAACGCATGCGCTGTAGAGATAAGGGCATGTCGAAGCGAATGAAGGCGTGGCCTCTGCCCGAATTCAAGATGGTTCCCAGGACCTTCCGCCCTTGCTGCGGGGGCGGGGCGAGAGGCTAAAGACTCAGAACGCTATTGGTGGAGTTGCACACCCTTCATCCCCGCCCCCCGCAGGGGGCGGGAGTGACAAAGTCCCAATTTCCGGTTCCGTCAGTACCGGGAGCCCGGTCGAGATGGAGGAAGATGCGACCGGAGGCCATCAGTTGCCAGAAACAGAGGATAGAGTGGGAGCTGCGGCCTAGAGGTCCGCGCTTGGAGTTCACCTCAGACGGGGCGGAACCGCCCTGATGTGAGAAGGTAAGAAACCACCGGCTTGGGGTGCCTGAGGACTAAGGTCTCCGAGGACCTGGACCTGTCAGAGAGGCAGCGGGTGCCTGCAGTGCCCGGCTGCAATTCAGTGGGAGCCCGCCACGCAGTTTGGGGAATGAGGGGCGACTCCAACGGGTCTTTTCCTGTCGGAGGAGCATGAGTTTCGCTGACAGCGAAAGAAGCATGGCGAGAGGCATGGCGAGGCGGCACCTCGGGGGCCAGGACAGAAGCAGCTTAAAGGGGGTGTCATGTGGAGTAGGTGAAGAGGACTGTCATGTGGTGTCTGTCATGAGGGATCACGTGGACACCCATGGAAGACCGAAGGAAGGCTGGGTGGAAATCGCTTCATGCCCCAGAGGGGAGGATGTCTTGAAGGGAGAGGTTGGAGGCATGCCAGGGAACTTCTCTAAGGAAATGCATGTTCATTCGGACAGGTGGGCAAGCATGTAAATATATTCACATTCATGTGGTAGATAGCTCCCAGGATGCAAAGCCTTGATGCAGTTGCAGTAAGAACTACAGAGGAACAGAAGGAGGAAGGAAAGATGTTTCCAGCACAGAAGTGGGGACCAAACCCCACGGATGTCTTGTCAGGAGTTGTAGGTGGCTATTTGACTTGGGCGTGGGGGGGGGTGTTGACTGAAAAGATTTGAATAAGTCTAGAAGTCATCACTGAGCCCAGTCCTGGTGACAAGTCAGGATGGAGTCAGAGAGCTCCTAACCTAGTCATAATGGTCCTGGACTCCTAGAGTAGTTGTTATCATTGTTATAATACTGAAAATCCTTAATATTTAAGGTAATACTTTCCAAACTCTGATGTATGTATTAACCACCCAGAGATCTTGTGAACATGTTGGTTCTTATTCAGCAGGCCTATGGAGCATCCTGAAATTCTGTATTTCTAACAAGCTCCCAGATTATGCCCATGCTGCTGGTCTGTGCACAACTCTGAGTAGCAAAGATTTAGAGCAGCACTGTCCAGTAGAGCTTTCTGCAATGATAGAAGTGCTTTGCTGTTAACAAAGTGCTTTCACACGTTAGCTCATGTGAGTTGCACCACAGTGACATAGCTATGGCAGGCTTTACTAGCCCCATTTCACAGATGAGGAAACTGAATTTCAAAGAAGTGACTTAGTTCCAATCCTACTAGTAGGTAATGAAAGTGGAACTCAGACATGGATCTCCTGACTACTTGTGTTCTTTTCATCGAATGACCTTACATTTCAGGTGACACTGCCTTGTCCTGAACCAGAATCTTATCTCAGAACCTAGTGAACAGTCTGGTGTGGTTTTTCTGGTACAGGTAGAGGGGAAGTGGAGAAGGAGGTGTACCTACTTGGGCCAGTTTGTCCCTTTCCTCTGATGGGCTCAGCAGTGGGAGTTCTGCCTCTGACATCTCATTTGATGATTTCAGGACATCCTGGGTCATCTGTTGGGTCTCCATATGAAGCACTTTAACGTTTGTGTCTAAGCTGTGTTAAAAGATGGGGGGAAATTCGGAATTGGAGCCATGCACACAAATAAGGATCTGGGAAAGAGCCATAAAGAAGCTGGGCTGATTGAATTGGAAGAAAGGAAGGCTGAAGGAAGTGAGCATACAGGTATCTGCATGGAGGATTTTCCAGAGGGTGAAACACAAGGAACTGGTTTTGATATTTCAGCGGGAAGTTTGGAGGTTAAATAACGAGGAGCAGGTTGAGATCCCAACTTTTAGGAGCAGCCACCTTTCAAAGGGATAGAGGGGGTGGGTGCAGTGCCTTCCTCTTCAACTGTAGAGGCTCAGCCCTCTGTGGCATGACCCTTAGTGGCTTCTTCTGTCACCATGGTAATGGTAGAAATTACCTGCTTTGGCCGTGAAGATCCTCCCTTCTTTCTGGGAATTTAAAATAGACGGGCACATATGAGAGATGGAGGAAAGTGGGGAAATGGGGCGCTGGGTGCTGCTGTAGGATTTCTCATCAGGAGTTGTTGGCACTCTGTCATTCAGTTTGATAAGTTGAGACAGTGCCCACAAAACCAGGTCCTAGAACAGAGTCCTTCGTGGCTCTGGCTCTCTGCCCTGCTCAGCACACAGTATCCATGAGCTGGGCAGGAGTCCTTGCTTGAGCCCTGCCGTATTTGTCCTGTGATGACAACAGGCCTGCCCAGCCACTCAGCTCAGTCACTCCACAAGCACGCTGGGAAAGCAGAGGCAGCTCTTGGTTTCAGTGGAACAAAGCAGAGAGAAATCCCTGGGCATCTGCTGCCAGGAGCTTATGCTTAACCCTTGGGTGACTGACAGTCATGAGGGCATTAATTCTGCCTCCCAAGGGTGGGAATGACCTGGCTTTATACTGAACAGAGTGATTTGTGCTGGAACTCCTCAACTCCCATGGAGTAGAGGGCATGATGGAGTAGAGGAGCAAACTTGGCTCATATCCTGCCTCCGCTAACCAGCTGTGTGACCTTGGGCTTGTTCCTTTTAACTTATTTGTTGTACCTCAATTTCCTCATTTAGCAGAAGGGTCTTAACTGTGTAGAGGTTAAGTTGTAAGGATTACTTGAGGTAATAGGTGTTCAGTAAATCCTAGTGTCTCTCTCTCTCTTCTCCTCCTCTCTCGGTGGAAATGGACACATAACCTTGGGACCCTGGATGCCAAACACCCTGTTTGTCAGTGATACAGTGATCCCCTTCTCCTGAAGGGCCTTAAAGGAGAAGATTGCCACACTGGACTTGATGGGTGTCCTGGGCTGAGGCTGGAGGAAGGGCCACTTTTGCCCACAGCAAGTGGCACATCAGTGTTCCAGGGGTTCTCCTCCTAGAACCCCATCTCTAGCTCATTTCCCATGGCCTAGATTCTCTGTTCTGGTCAACCCAGTTGTTTCAAGCCATTGTTTTCTCCCTTTCACTGTCCACATGTATTCCTCCATTCAAGCTGCTTTGTCCTCCTTCAGGAAGCCTGTCTTGGTTACATGTGCCTCACCCATGCCTCACCTTGAAGCTGAGGTTTTCCCTCAGCTCACATGTACTCAGTTTGCACTGCAGGTATCTTATACTTTAATGAAAGTGATGCAGTCCAGCTCAGGAAATTCCAAAAAGCTAACCTTGCTTACCCACTGACTTATATGGTAAACCAAGAAGCTACTTAGGCTGGTTGGGACCTTTGGCTGGGGAAGGTGGTTGAGGATGAACTCTGGTTATACACTTGACATGAGATTTGTCAAGGCTTTGGTGCTGGGACTGCCTGTGTAGAACATTTCACCTCTCTAGAGTTGTCCTTTTGATGTGGCCACCTCCTTTCCCATCCCTTCAGGATTTCTCTCAGAGCTTAGGGAGCCCCCGATTTCCTGTTTCCTGGACTTTAACTTCTCACTTTCCCCTTCTGGCTGGAAATGTCCAGTATCCTACACAGGAGCACATTACATTGTCACTATGTGTATGTCCAATATATGATGTCCTCTCATTTGACATTTCTTTTTTTTTTTTAATTATTCATTTATTTAAGTTTTGGCTGCATTGGGTCTTCACTGATGCACGCTGGTTTTCTCTAGTTGCTGAGAGTGGGGGCTACTCTTTGTTGTGGTGCGCGGGCTTCTCATTGTGGTGGCTTCTCTTGTTGCGGAGCACAGGCTCTAGGCACATGGGCTTCAGTAGTTGTGGCACATGGGCTTCAGTAGTTGTGGCACACAGGCTTCAGTAGTTGTGGCTTGTGGGCTCTAGAGCACAGGCTCAGTAGTTGTGACGCACGGGCTTAGTTGCTCCGCGGCATGTGGGATCTTCCTGGACCAGGGCTTGAACCCAGGTCCCTTGCATTGGCAGGCGGATTCTTTCTTTCTTTCTTTCTTTTTTAAAATTAATTTAATTTAATTAATTTATTTTTGGCTATGTTGGGTCTTCGTTGCTGCATGCAGGCCTTCTCTAGTTGCGGTGAACGGGGGCTACACTTCATTGCGGTGTGCGGCCTTCTCATTGTGGTGGCTTCTCTTGTTGTGGAGCACAGGCTCTAGGCACACGGGCTTCAGTAGTTGCGGCATGCGGGCTCAGTAGTTGTGGTGCACAGGCTTGGTAGTTGTGGCACACAGGCTTAGCTGCTCTGTGGCATGTGGGATCCTGCTGGACCAGGGCTCGAACCCATATCCCCTGCATTGGCAGGCAGATTCTTAACCACTGCGACACCAGGGAAGCCCCTCATTTGACATTTCTTAAGTTGAAAGCTCCTGATTTTATACAGTTATTATAGTTGTAACCTTATTAGTTTTGTTTGAAACTTTAGTCAGTGGATACACTTAACATGAGGGCCACATGTACATTAATTTGCCCTGGTTTCTTTATCTCTGTGTCTTATATCCGTTCCCCAGAGGGATACTGTGTCCCCTTGAAGAGACTGAGTTTCTCAAAGGCAGAGTCTCTATATCTTTTCTGTCACTTGAATCTCCCTTCATTACCTAGGGGCTGAGGTTATTATTTATATGCTTGGGGATGAAAGAGGCCAAGCATGTTCTCTACCCTGTAGTTAAGACTCTTCAAGGAAACTGCTTAGCTCTCAGGTGGTTCTCTTCTTTCTCTAGAGTGAGTTATCTAATAGCCAAAGAGGACTCTGACCTTTGGCTTGTTCCTAAATTTCTAACTCCTTTCATTAGAAGGAAGGGAGGTGGGGGGGGGGTTGCCTGTGGAGTGAAAGCCCCACTTGCCTTCTTCATCGCACTTTCTTCTAATGCAGACTGGAGAAAGTGTAAGTGTAGTGAATGTGGGTCAGGAGGAGCTCAGAGGGGCCAGCACGGGAAACCAGAAATAAAGTGAGGTGAGTCAGCTGGTAAACGGTGGTAAAAGAGGCACCCTGCTGAGGCTCAAAGGCCCAAGGCCAAAGGCCATGTCTCCTCAGTAGGCTCAGGAGTGTCAGAAATGGAGCACTTCCCTTTAGCCTCTAGGAACCTCCAGAATGTCACTTAGTGACATCTCATTAGCGCACTTAAAGGCCAGGTGGTTGGTTGGCCCACAGCATCCTGAACTGTCTGGGTGAGCTAGAGAAGGAAAAGGAGAATGGGCCATGACACCAGGGCCTGGGCAGAGGCAGAAAGACCAGAATAGATGACCTGATAAGCTGGGGGTAGGGAGCTGAGGTGGGAGTGGGCCCATGGGAGTCACTGAGGTGAGAAACAATTTTCAGAAGAGGGGTCCTGAATTGGGACAGACTGGTAAAAGAGAGAGAAGAGGGCACTATCCCGATCCATGAAGGAAGAATCAGGCAGGGGTTGGCAGAGCCAGACTGGGTGAAGTCTGAACTTTGGAGAAGTGAGTACCCCAGGAGCTGAAGCCTGAGAATGGGGTTTCAGAGCCCATCCAGGAGGGGAAAGTGCAAATTCTGATCTCCTTCACATTCCCTCCACCCTCCTCAAATCCCCAGGTCTCCAGGCACGATGGAGGACAAACGTAACATCCAGATCATCGAGTGGGAACACCTGGACAAGAAGAAGTTCTACGTGTTTGGTGTGGCAATGACCATGATGATCCGTGTCAGCGTCTACCCATTCACCCTCATCCGCACTCACCTGCAGGTTCAGAAAGGCAAGAGCCTCTACCATGGGACCTTTGATGCCTTCATCAAGATCCTACGGGCAGATGGTGTGACTGGCCTCTACCGGGGATTCCTGGTCAACACCTTCACTCTCATATCTGGCCAGTGCTATGTTACCACTTATGAGCTCACCCGGAAGTTTGTAGCTGACTACAGCCAGAGCAACACAGTCAAATCACTGGTGGCCGGTGGCTCGGCCTCTCTCGTGGCTCAGAGCATCACGGTGCCCATTGATGTGGTCTCCCAGCACCTGATGATGCAGCGCAAGGGTGAGAAAATGGGCCGCTTCCAAGTGCGAGGGAATCCAGAGGGACAAGGGATAGTTGCCTTTGGCCAAACCAAGGACATCATCAGGCAGATCCTGCGGGCTGATGGACTTCGTGGCTTCTACCGGGGCTACGTGGCTTCGCTGCTTACTTACATCCCAAACAGTGCTGTCTGGTGGCCCTTCTACCACTTCTATGCAGGTAAGCAGGGACCAGGAGGGTGGGGGTGGAGGATGGTTACTAATGGACAGAGATGCTGTTGCTCTGTGCATGTTAGAATGAGTGATTTAATGGGAGACTAGACCATTCATACAGCAAACATTTGAATCCAGGAGGATTCAGAGATGAGTAAGACATGGTTCTTCCCTTCAAGGAGCTAATATTATAGTGGAGGGAATCAGACAAGTAAAGTATATGACTGTAGGACATAAGAGTATGTTCTCGATGAATCAGGATCAACTAAGTTTAGTGGAATATTGGCAGAGAATCATAAGGTGGGGAGGGACAAAATCCATAGGATTTAAAGATGAAAGCAATGGGTAATAGTGAGCTTTTGAGTTTGATGCCTTTCCTTACTATTTTCTTTTTTTTTACATTTTTTTCTTTTTTAAAAAAAATTATTTTATTTATTTATTTATTTTTGGCTGCGTTTGGTCTTCGTTGCTGCACACGGGCTTTCTCTAGTTGTGGCGAGCGGGAGCTAGTCTTTACTGCGGTGTGTGGGCTTTTCATTGCAGTGGCTTCTCTTATTGCAGAGCACAGGCTCTAGGTGCGCGGGCTTCAGTAGTTGTGGCACGTGGGCTCAGTAGTTGTAGCTCACGGGCTCTAGAGCGCAGGCTCAGTAGTTGCGGTGCATGGGCTTAGTTGCTCTGTGGCATGTGGGATCTTCCCAGACCAAGGCTTGAAGCCCTGTCCCCTGCATTGGCAGGCGGATTCTTAACCACTGCGCCACCAGGGATGCCCCTTCTTTTTTTTTTAATAGATTTATTTTATTTGTTTATTGTCTGCATTGGGTCTTCCCTTGCTGTGTGCAGGCTTTCTCTAGTTGCCGTGAGCAGGGGCTACTCTTCATTGTGGTGTGAGGGCTTCTCATTGCAGTGGCTTCTCTTGTTGCGGAGCACAGGCTCTAGGTGTGCAGGCTTCAGTAGTTGTGGTGCACAGGCTTAGTTGCTTCACAGCATGTGGGATCTTCCCGGACCAGGGCTCAAACCCATGTCCCCTGCATTGGCAGGCGGATTCTTAACCACTGCGCCACCAGGGAAGCCCCTACTTACTATTTTTAAATTAAGTTCAAGGGACTTCCCTGGTGGTTCAGTGGGTAAGACTCTGCACTCCCAATGCTAGAGGGCCTGGATTCCATCCCTGGTTGGGGAACTAGATCCCGCATGCATGCCACAACTAAGAGTCCACATGCCGCAACTAAAGATCCTGCACACCGCAACAAAGATCCCTCATGCCACAACTAAGACCCAGTGCAGCCAAAATAAATAAATAAATATTTAAATTAAGTTCAAGGTGTGATACAATCTTGAACCTCTCTACTCCTGTAATGTAGTTTTGTTCACAAGGCATTACTTGTTAAGTATTTCCCAGAAATGGGATTTCTGGGTCAAAAGATAACATTTTTGAGGGCCTCAATAAACATACTGCCAGATTTCCTTCTGAAAGGGCAAAGCACATTGTCAAGAGCAGGACCTGTGTGTGCCTGCTATCCTGCGATATCCGTAGCTTTGGGTAACTACCAAACTCCAGTTAGGGCAGTATGTGCTTGTAGCCTCCCAAATCCCTGCTGCACTGGCAGTAGACATTTTGTCCCATCCCACCTGGAACTTTTCTGACCAAATTTTGTAATGACTTCCTAACCTATAATCACCTTGTTTCTATGGCACTGTACTTTTCTGGTTCTTTTCTTTTTTTTAAAGATTTATTTATTATTTATTTTATTATTATTTTTGGCTGCATTGGGTCTTAGTTGCAGCACGCAGGATCTTTTCCTTGCGGCGCGTGGGCTTTTCATTGTGGCACTCAGGCTTCTCTAGGTGTGGCATGTGGGTTTTCTCTTCTCTAGCTGTGGTGCACAGGCTCCAGGGCACATGGGCTCTGTAGTATGCGGCACGCAGGCTCTAGCTGAGGCACGTGAGCTCAGTAGTTGTGGCATGGGCTTAGTTGCCCCGTGGCATGTGGGATCTTAGTTCCCTGACCAGGGATTGAACCTGTGTCCCCTGCATTGTAAGGCGGATTCTTTACCACTGGACCACCAGGGAAGTCCCTCTCCTATTTTTCTAATTGTACTTTTTTTTTTTTGGTAGCTCTGTCTCTTCTTCTGTTTAACACAGTCTTTCATCTGGAGTATTTGGTAAAATTCAGATACATGGACTCCACCTTGACCCTTTGTATCATATTCTTTGGGAATGGATGCTGGCAATCTTAATGTTAGAGAACCTTCCTAGGAAATGTGAGCATTTTCTCTGGAGTCTGTCCTTACCCCTCTCTCCTCATTTGGTTTCATTTACAATTAGAGTTGTCCTTTTCTAATATGTCCAACATTTCTATTTCTGTTCCCAAACTTACCTGTCCAGAGCTCTGGACAGGCATCCTGGCTGTTGGACCTTTTGACCTGGAGGCATGCACTTACATCTGAAATTTTTTTCAATTAACCATTTTTCATCCCAAGCTGGCTTTCTCTTCTGACTACTTTCATGTGTCAGTGGCCATGTTATTCTCCAAATCACTGAAACTGAGGCTTTGGGCATAGTGCGTGGCCCCTTGTCCTTGTCCCCACATCTAGTCCTGGTGACCCTGGAATGTCTTGTCCAACTTTCTTTCCATTCCCACTGCCTTTCCTGGAAACCATGCTCTGTTCCTACCCTCTTGGACTATTGCATCAGCCTTCTAGCTGTTCCAAGTCTCTTCCTTCCTGTCTACACACAAGTCCCTAATGGATTAACTTTATTTATTTATTTTTAGAGTTTTATTTATATATTTATTTTTGGCTGCTTTGGGTCTTCGTTACTCCGCGTGGGCTTTCTCTTGTTGTGGTGAGCGGGGGCTATTCTTCATTGCGGTGTGCGGGCTTTTCATTGCAGTGGCTTCTCTTGTTTCAGGGCACGGGCTCTAGGCTCGAGGGCTTCAGTAGTTGTGGCTCGTGGGCTCTAGAACACAGGCTTAGTAGTTGTGGCGCACGGGCTTAAGTTGCTCCACGGCATGTGGGATCTTACCGGACCAGGGCTTGAACCCGTGTCCCCTACATTGGCAGGTGTATTCTCAACCACTGCGCCACCAGAGAAGTCCCCCTAAGGGATTAACTTTAAACTCTGGTTGTGATGTTCAGTGGCTCCCACTGCTTACTCAGTAAAATCCAAACTCTTCAGCCTGGCTTCACCTTCCCTTTTCGGTGAAACATCCTGCTGTTTCCTTATGTATAGTCTATGCTGCAGCCAGGCCAGTTCACACACCTTCCCTCCACCGTGCATCATCTCTCCCACCTCTGCTGTATTCGTGTCCCTCTGCTAGATGCCTTCCAGGTCCACTTACCCTGGTGAAATCATGACTCATTGCCTCCTCTCCCATCCTCTCCATGTATCTCTCAACTCAGAAATGATCTTTCCCTCCTTCCAACTCCCATGACATTGCTTCAGTCTTTCTTAAGGCAGTTAGAACATTTGCCTTGATGTTATTTGTATGTGCCTATCTCTTCTATTATTTGCACAGGTTCTTCTTTTTTCTTAATGCTTTTTTTCCCCCAGCTTTATTTTGATATAATTGACTGGAAAGTTTCTTGGAAGGGGGTGGAAACTAACATTTACTGAATATCCACTGTGTACCACACTCTGTGACACTGTGTGTCTCAGGGCCTGGTGAATTGTAAGTGCTCAGTAAATATTTGTTGAGAGAGTAGACTGGTTTTTTTCACTCCATTTTGCTTAAAATCTACCAATGCTGCCTTATGGGTATTTACAATAAAATCTAATGCTTCTCATGGTCAATACAGGTCTATGTGATCTGGTCCCTGTCTGCTTCTCCAGCCCCATCTTGTGCTCCTCTCCCCTTACTCACTCTGGTCCATTCTCACTGCCCTTCTCAGTTCCTGAGACACACCAAGCTCTGTTCTCACTTCAAGGCCTTTGCAGATACTGTTCTTTCTGCCTGGAATACCCTTTCTCCTGTTGTTTGTGTGTCTGGGTCCTTCTCAGGCTTCAAGCCTCAGCGTACATGCCATCTTTGCAAAGAAGACTTCTTTTTTTAAAAAATAACTAATTAATTAATTAGTAAATTTTTGGCTGCGTTGGGTCTTTGTTGCTACATGCGGGCTTTCTCTAGTTGTGGTGAGTGGGGGCTACTCTTTGTTGCGGTGCGCGGGCTTGTCATTGCTGTGGCTTATCATGTTGTGGAGCATGGGCTCTGGGTGCACAGGCTTCAGTAGTTGTGGCACACAGGCTTCAGTAGTTGTGGCTCACAGGCACTAGAGCACAGGCTCAGTAGCTGTGGCACACGGGCTTCTTTGCTCTGTGACATGTGGGATCTTCCCAGACCAGGGTTCGAACCCCTGTCCCCTGCATTGGCAGGCGGATTCTTAACCACTGTGCCACCAGGGAAGTCCCAAGAAGACTTCTTTACCCAGTTGGAAAGAGGGTTCTTCCTGTTTTCTTTTTTTAATTGATTTATTTTTAAATTTTATTTATTTATTTTATTTTGGCTGTGTTGGGTCTTCATTGCTGCGTGCAGGCTTTTCTCTGGTTGCGGCGAGTGGGGGCTACTCTTGTGGTGTGCGGGCTTCTCATTGCATTGGCTTCTCTGGTTGTGGAGCACAGGCTCTAGGCGCGTGGGCTTCAGTAGCTGTGGCATGTGGGCTCAGTAGTTGTGGCGCATGGGCTCTAGAGCGCAGGCTTAGTAATTGTGGCTCACAGGCTTAGTTGCTCCGTGGAGTGTGGGATCTTCACAGACCAGGGCTTGAACCCATGTCCCCTGCACTGGTAGGTGGATTTTTAACCACTCCACCAGGGAAGCCCTGTTTTCTTTTGTAGCACCTTGTTTTCCAGATGCTGCCTTCCAGTGGTTGTGAAATGTTTTCTTCTCAGGAGCAACAAGACACCCTTGAGGCAGAGCCACCAGTTCACTTTGTTTCTTTCTGTATGCTGACCCTGGGGAAGAAAGTGATTAGAAATCCAGGGGAGAGGTGGTTCTGGTAAGGCTTAAGGAATTCTGTCATGCCTTCGGACTTGGAAGCCCTCGCTTCTGTCCTGCCAACCTCCACCCTCCTACTTGTTTCCTACTCTTTAGTTGCCTGGACGTAAATTACCAAAACTAGGAGCATAAGAAAAAAATACTTATATATATTATTTATTTATTTATTTATTTATTTTTGCGGTACGCGGGCCTCTCACTGTTGTGGCCTCTCCCGCTGTGGAGCACAGGCTCCGGACGCGCAGGCCCAGCGGCCATGGTTCACGGGCCCAGCCGCTCCACAGCATGTGGGATCTTCCCGGACTGGGGCACAAACCCGCGTCCCCTGCATCGGCAGGCGGACTCTCAACCACTGCGCCACCAGGGAAGCCCTATATATTTTTTAAATCGGAAGTATAGTTGATCTATAATAGTTTATAAATTACAGGTGTACAATATAGTGATTCACAATTTTTGAACGTTATACTCCATTTATAGTTATTACAAAATATTTGCTGTATTCCCTGTGTTGTATAATATATCCTTGTAGCTTGTTTGTACCTCTTTTATTTTTTGGGGGGGTACGCGGGCCTCTTACTGTTGTGGCCTCTCCCGTTGCGGAGCACAGGCTCCGGACGCGCAGGCTTAGCAGCCATGGCTCACGGGTCTAGCCGCTCCGCGGCGTGTGGGATCTTCCTGGACCAGGGCACGAACCCATGTCCCCTACATCGGCAGTCGAACTCTCAACCACTGCGCCACCAGGGAAGCCCTTGTTTGTACCTCTTAATCCCCTACCCCTATATTGTTCCTCCGCGCAAGAAGAAATTCTTAAAGGTATTATGGTGATTGAATTGTACAGAGAAAACTGAGAGGGAACCTTGGAGATGATAAATCTATTTTACATCCGGTCTCACTCAGAGTAAAAGCCAAAGTCCATGCAATGGCTTCAGGGCCCTACCTCAGACTTCATCTACTGTTCTTTCCCTCATTCATTCGGCTGCAGGCATACTGGCCTTGGTGCCAAAGACCTCAGGCATGCTCATGCCTCAGGGCCTTTGCATAGGATGTTACCTCTGCTTGGAAAGTTCTCACCACAGATCTATAAGGCTTATACTATCCTTTAGGGCTTTGCTTAGACTTCACCTTCTACCCTTTCTGCCCTTGGCATTCCTTATCTCCTTTTCGTGATCTATTTTTTTCTATAATTAGCACACAACATGTCTGACATAGTTGTATATTTTGCTTTTTATTTATTTATTGTCTGTTTTCCCCCACTAGAATATAAGTTTCATAAGGGCAGGGATTTGAGGCTCTTTTATTCACTGTTGTATCTTTAGAACCCAAAGTGACTGGCTCATGGTAATCGCTCAATAAATCTTTGTTGAATGAATGAACGAACTCTTGTCTCTCACCTCCAGAGAGGGAAAAGCAAAATAATTCAGTTGCACGTGAACTTTCTAGTGACATTGGGATTGGGTGAACCTGGGTATTATTCCATCTTCTTCATCAGCATTTTGAAAAATGAATTTTCCTTTCTTTTTTTAAAAATTAATTAATTAATTTATTTTCGGCTGTGTTGGGTCTTTGTTGCTGTGCGCGGGCATTCTCTAGTTGGGGTGAGCGGGGGCTACTCTTCCTTGTGGTGCGCCGGCTTCTCATTGCGGTGGCTTCCCTTGTTGCGGAGCACAGGCTTTAGGCACGTGGGCTTCAGCAGTTGTGGCACGCAGTCTCAGTAGTTGTGGTTTGCGGACTCTAGAGCTCAGGCTCAGTAGTTGTGGCGCACGGGCTTATTTGCTCCACTGCATGTGGGATCTTCCCTGTCCAGGGCTCGAACCCATGTCCCTTGTATTGGCAGGCGGATTCTTAACCACTGCGCCACCAGGGAAGTCCAATTTTCCTTTCTTGATATAGGCTGAAGAAAAGTTTTCACTGTAGGATATGATTTTCTCTTTTAATTGTAATTGTTTGTATTTTTAAAACATTCATATGGTTCAAAATTCAAAAGGTAAGAAAGGGTATGCAGTGAAAACACTCCTCACCTACCACAGTCACCCAGCTTCCTTCCTTAAAGACAATTAGTGTTACCAATTTTTAATGTATCTTACCAGTAATCCAGTGCACGTATAAGAAAATATGTGGTGTGTGCTTTTCTAGCCAGTGAGTTGTGAAAAGTAGAGCACAAGCATAAGAGTTTTACATCAGGAGTGATTTCTGAAAGGAGTCAGCAAGCAAATAGGTTTTGAAATCCCCTTCTCCAGAGGAATTTTGTCCTATGCAAAATGACTTCTGGAAGGGGCCTGAGATTTCAAAATTTTTGTTGGTTCAGGGCTTCCCTGGTCCGGGAAGATCCCACATGCTGCGGAGCAACTAAGCCCGTGCACCACAACTACTGAGCCTGCGTTCTAGAGCCCGTGAGCCACAACTACTGAGCCCACGTGCCACAATTACTGAAGCCTGCATGCCTAGAGCCCGTGCTCCGCCACGAGAAGCCACCTCAATGATAAGCCCGCACACTGCAACGAAGAGTAGCCCCCACTCGCCACAACTAGAGAAAGCCTGCGTGCAGCAACAAAGACCCAATGCAGCCAAAACTAAATAAATAAATTTATTAAAAAAAATTTTTGTGTTGTTGGTTTAGATGGAAGCAAAGATGGGAGTTATAGGGTCTAAGGTGGCTAAGGATGGAGAGTTTGTCATCATTGGGCCAACTGGTAGAAAAGGTTTGGGGGCGCGTGGAGTGGAACCTCATGTCTTGAGGCATTATCTTTCCCTTGATTCCAGAGCAGCTCTCATCCCTCTGCCCTAAGGAGTGCCCTCACATCGTCTTTCAAGCCATCTCGGGGCCTCTGGCTGCAGCCACTGCTTCCATCCTCACCAATCCCATGGATGTCATCCGAACCCGAGTACAGGTAAGACCAGGCTTCTCCCCTACCCTCTTCCCAGATAAACCATTAGAAGTGTGATCTTCAGGCCCTCCAGTATTTCCTGACCTCTTTGTGTCATGGCCCTCTAGTCTAGCCAACCTTCTCCTGGTCATCCAAGCCTCTTCCTTGTGGTTATGCTTACCATCTACAGAAACCCATGTCCCTTGTATTGGCAGGCGGATTCTTAACCACTGCGCCACCAGGGAAGTCCAATTTTCCTTTCTTGATATAGGCTGAAGAAAAGTTTTCACTGTAGGATATGATTTTCTCTTTTAATTGTAATTGTTTGTATTTTTAAAACATTCATATGGTTCAAAATTCAAAAGGTAAGAAAGGGTATGCAGTGAAAACACTCCTCACCTACCACAGTCACCCAGCTTCCTTCCTTAAAGACAATTAGTGTTACCAATTTTTAATGTATCTTACCAGTAATCCAGTGCACGTATAAGAAAATATGTGGTGTGTGCTTTTCTAGCCAGTGAGTTGTGAAAAGTAGAGCACAAGCATAAGAGTTTTACATCAGGAGTGATTTCTGAAAGGAGTCAGCAAGCAAATAGGTTTTGAAATCCCCTTCTCCAGAGGAATTTTGTCCTATGCAAAATGACTTCTGGAAGGGGCCTGAGATTTCAAAATTTTTGTTGGTTCAGGGCTTCCCTGGTCCGGGAAGATCCCACATGCTGCGGAGCAACTAAGCCCGTGCACCACAACTACTGAGCCTGCGTTCTAGAGCCCGTGAGCCACAACTACTGAGCCCACGTGCCACAATTACTGAAGCCTGCATGCCTAGAGCCCGTGCTCCGCCACGAGAAGCCACCTCAATGATAAGCCCGCACACTGCAACGAAGAGTAGCCCCCACTCGCCACAACTAGAGAAAGCCTGCGTGCAGCAACAAAGACCCAATGCAGCCAAAACTAAATAAATAAATTTATTAAAAAAAATTTTTGTGTTGTTGGTTTAGATGGAAGCAAAGATGGGAGTTATAGGGTCTAAGGTGGCTAAGGATGGAGAGTTTGTCATCATTGGGCCAACTGGTAGAAAAGGTTTGGGGGCGCGTGGAGTGGAACCTCATGTCTTGAGGCATTATCTTTCCCTTGATTCCAGAGCAGCTCTCATCCCTCTGCCCTAAGGAGTGCCCTCACATCGTCTTTCAAGCCATCTCGGGGCCTCTGGCTGCAGCCACTGCTTCCATCCTCACCAATCCCATGGATGTCATCCGAACCCGAGTACAGGTAAGACCAGGCTTCTCCCCTACCCTCTTCCCAGATAAACCATTAGAAGTGTGATCTTCAGGCCCTCCAGTATTTCCTGACCTCTTTGTGTCATGGCCCTCTAGTCTAGCCAACCTTCTCCTGGTCATCCAAGCCTCTTCCTTGTGGTTATGCTTACCATCTACAGAAACCAGCTGAGCACTTTGAATCACCTAGAATGTTTCTGTCATCCTGTCTGCTACCTTGCATGCCTCTACTCCTTGCCTTGCCCATGCCTCTAGAAATTCTTACTGCTTTCTTCTAGGCTTTCTTCATAATAGCATAGCCTATCAACCACCTTTTCCTTACCTTCTAGCTTTGTGGTTATTAGAAATATGATTTTAGTTAATTTCTTAAGTCTATCTAGCTTCTCCACTTGGCTATGTGCTCTCTACAGTGAAAATGACTGTCCTTGAACAGGTTTCACAGATTGTTCTGTGTGGACTCAGCACAAACACAGACAAAGCCCTGGGTGGTGTTGTCCAGAAATTATAGTCCCTGTCTTTAATCAGCTTAATAACAATTTCACAGCCCCGAGTCCAAGGAGATAGAATCTGAATGATGATGTATAATATACACATGGTAGGTTTTGCTATATAAAGCTTTAGGTGGAGGGACTTCCCTGGTGGTCCAGTGGGTAGGACTCCACGTTTCCAATGCAAGGGGCCTGGGTTTGATCCTTGGTCAGGGAATTAGATCCCACATGCATGCTGCAACTAAGAAGCCCACATGCCACAACTAAGAAGCCCACATGCCGCAACTAAGACCCAGTGCAGCCAAAATAAAAAAATAAATAATAATAAAATTTAAAAATAAATAATAATAAAAGAAAATAAATAAATAATCATAAAATAAATAAATAAATATTTTTTTAAAAGCTTTAGGTGGAGAGAATGGGGGAATTTTAATATCTGATTTGGGTAACTTAACAGGACAGCTGTCCAGGAGAGTGTGGTCATTGAGTTACAGTGAGAAGGAGAGGGAAGGAAAATAACCTTAGCAGGTGGAGGTGAAGTCAGCTTCCCTGATACCAGGATGTTGGGATGGAGGTGGCTGGTAAATCTAGGTACAGTTGACTCTTGAACAACATGGAGTTTAGGAGCACTGACACTCCGCATAGTTGAAAATTTGAGTATAACTTAGCCCTCTGAATCTGTGGTTCGCCATCCACAGATCGCATAGTACTGTAGTGTTTTGGGTTTTTTTAAGTATAAATAAAAATGAATTTTTACTTAAATCATTTTGGTATAGATTATAGTCAAAGATATTTAAACACATTTTGGGTAATATAAGCAGGCAGTTCAATTTTAAATTCAATTTTTTATGTAGTAACTCTGCTACCTATGTACAGTTTTTTTTTTTTTTTTTTTTTTGCAGTACTCGGGCCTCTCACTGTTGTGGCCTCTCCCATTGCGGAGCACAGGCTCCGGACGCGCAGGCTCAGCGGCCATGGTTCACGGGCTTAGCTGCTCTGTGGCGTGTGGGATCTTCCCTGACCAGGGCACGAACCCGTGTCCCCTGCATCAGCAGGCGGACTCTCAACCACTGCGCCACCAGGGAAGCCCCCTATGTACAATTTTGATTTATTTCCAGAGAAGTAAAATAATCTTTTTAAATTTAATGTTAGCATAAGCATGGAATTCTTAAATTAACCAAGTGTGTACTTTAGATAAACAGGAATATATCTTGACATGTTTAGAGAGATATGCAATCCATAAAGGTTAAATAGCAATGGTAAAGTCTTCCTGGTTATTATATTTATTTTATTTATTTTTAAAATTTTTATTAGTACTGTAGTGTTACTTGTTACTACTGAAAAAAAACATACTGCATATAAGTGGACCCATGCAGCTCAAACCCTTGTTGTTCGAGGGTCAGCTGTGTATTGGTCCCTAGGAAAGTATGCGCCCCCTCCACAACCCACACGTTTGAAAATGAGTGGCATCTGATTGGTTTGCAAATAATAAAGTGTATAGGTTCCATCCTTATTCTCTCCTGAGCCTTGTTCTGGGTGTTCCATGAGGAGATTCAAGGAAAAGGACAGGTCCTTACTTTGAGGAGTTCCCAGGCTGGAAGAGACAGCACATATGAGGACCAGAGCCATAGCTAAAAAGCCCTTGATGTGGCTGTGGATAAGTGGAGGATTAGGGGAGCACAGGTGGTCAGAGGAAGAAGGGAAAGGGGGAATGTGGAGGAGGGCGCTAAAGGAGGCAGAGAGGAGTGGGGAGACGTTCTTAGTCAGAGATGGGACCACCTTGTGAATAGAGGGAAGTATAACAAGGAGTGTGTCTGTCCTGCATTGGCTGAAGGTCTGAAGGGGGTAATCTCTAAAAGTGTAATTTGGTGGCAGGTATGGGGGTAGGGGGGAAGAAGAGGGCAAGACTATTAAGAAAAAAGAGAGAAAAGATTCCAGTATGATAGGGAAGACAGGTCACAGGGTGTGTGGGAGATGACAGGGTTGGAGGGGCAGGACTCTAGCCATGGGGCTTCGGAGGGATTGAGATGATCAGAATCAAAATCACTGGTAGAGAGAGCTGAGACAGGCTGGGACCTGGGTCCCTTTGCTGCAGTGCTGCAGGGCTTGCACATGAACACACTTTTCCTTGAGCAATGGAATACAAAGAAACTATATGGGACTAAAAACAGCTGTGTGCATGCCCAGTTGGGGCAAATTCTGGACCCAAAAGATACAAAGGAACCAAAAAACCCAACTGCCACTTTTGAAGTGCCGGGAGCAAAAGCAGGGTACTGTGCATGCTTCCTGCACACACCACCACCTAAGGGGCGGCAAAATACCTAAGCCATCCCTCTGGCTGGACTCCTGGACACACCCCTACCCTCACCCCATATAAGAAACAAGCTTACCTCCCTTTGGGGAGTGAGCAAGCAAAGGAAGCTCTTGTTTGTTCTTGCTTCCCTCTTGTGCAGCAGGGGCCCCAGTAAAGCCTTGCCTGAATTTCTTGTCTGGCCTCTAGTCGATTTCTATTGCTTCGGGAAGGCCAAGAACCCTGGCCCGTAACAGAGCTGCAGAGGCCCTTAGAGGTGATTTAATCCAGCCTCCCTGAGACCAGAGAGAAGCACTTGGTCCAAAGACTCATCACTATGTAGTTTATCTAATGATATTAATTATAACTAACAGTTATTGAATACTTACTGTCTGCCAGGCACTGTTCTCAGCATTTACAAGTATTTTTTTTTGTTTACTTCGTAGAACAACCACACAGGGTAGGTATTATCATTACTATTTTATATTTGAGGAAACTGGGGTGCAAAGTGTTAAGTAAAGTACCTGAGATTATGCTGTTAGTAAATTGTGGAGCAGAATTCATACCAGGCAGTCTGGCACCAGAGCCCGTACTCAGTCACTGTGCTGAACTGTCCCGCAGAAGCAGAGTCCAGCCCTCTGACTCCCAAGTCTAATTCTTTCCACTTTAGCCTAAGGCAGAGGGAGATTGGGTAGAGGGGCTTTGACTGCAGACCGTCGTCCTCCAATGCGTTGACTTTTCCAGGTTGAGGGCAAGAACTCCATCATCCTGACCTTCCGACAGCTGATGGCAGAAGAGGGGCCTTGGGGCCTCATGAAAGGCCTCTCCGCCAGAATCATCTCAGCCACGCCCTCAACCATTGTCATTGTGGTGGGCTACGAGAGCCTCAAGAAACTCAGCCTCCGACCTGAGCTGGTGGACTCAAGACACTGGTAACCAGTGATGGGGAGAGAAGCCTGCTGTTTCCCACACTACTCTGGGTCAGGGGCAGAGAGGAGAGGGTAGCACCCTCTTCAGGTGCCTCACCATATACCGAGTCCGGCCCTGGGTCAGGGACAGAGACTTTGAACTGCTCTTGCTGAAGAGGCTCCACGCCTGGATCCCCTGCTCTCATTATTTTTTAATTTTCTTGCCAAACTGGGCTCACTCATTCAGTACAGGTACTGTCCTGCCCTAAGGAAATCCACTCTCCCTGCCAATCCCACTCCATCCATCCCCTGCCAACCCTTCTCTGCCTTCCCCTTCCATCTGTGTCCCTGAGATCCTGAGAAGAGCTGCACATAGAACTTGCTTACTACCACTGGTTCTTCCTCTTGGGCTTTCAGCCCAGATTCCAAGCAGTTGCCATCAGCCCTTTCCTGCTTCATCTCTTAGGCTTGCTTATTTTTATTTTGGGACTGAGCTGCCCACCAGACTACTCTGCTTTTCCCTGCCACTGGGGGCAAGGTGCCAGGCACTTTTGCACAGGGAGTGGGAGCAGCAAAAACCTCTGGTTCTCCAGAGCACTCATCCTCTCTTTGGAGAGTTATTAGGTTGGGGAGAAATGTTGATACTTTATTTTGTGTATTTTTCTGTGAACCAGGCTACTGTCTTAATCCTGCTAAAGCACCAATCCTGCAGTCAGAGCCCACCCCTTCCTCAGACAGGCGGAAAAATATCATGTAGCTTTTCCCTCAATCCCAGTTATCTATCCCTCCCAGTCCCTTCAGTCCCAGCAGCCTCAGGATATATAAGCTGTTTTTTTCCTCCTGGCCCAGATGACTACAGTGGTAGGCACAGCTCTAAATAGATCAGACTGTCTGGGACACACTAGACTTGGAACACTACCCTGAAAAGTCTGGTTTAGAGAGTAGTTGGTTTGGAAAGTGACAGGAGGATATGTGTGCCCTAGTGCATCTCCCTCAGCCAGCTGAGCCAAACCTAGGAGAGGGCAGTGGAGGTTCTCAGCCCCAGGCAGTCATGACACACATATATACCCCAATCACTTGGACTCACAGAAACAGATGTTGTCTCACAATGGGAATCTCTGAGATGTGGAACTGTTTGTGTTTTTCTTGTCTCCGATCTGAGGAGTCATCCCGGTCATGGTACCCTCTGGAGGGATGCTCGGAGGCGGGTAAAGGGCGGGTCAGGAACTCACCCAATACCAGGACCACTGCATTTACCAGCCTGATACTGCCGAGATGATCTGTTGAAGCTCTCAGGAGCTAGATGATGAATGCTCCTTCCCTGCCTCATCCTTCCCCCACAACACACACCTCCTCTACCAAGCTTGTGTTGCAGGTGAGGAGAGTTGCAGTAAATGGAATGAGAAGAAGGCATATCAAACCCTGCACTTTTACTTGAGACATCTGGCTTGGATGACCCTTCAAACTTTCTTATTGGTCCCACCCCCTGGGAGAGGCCATGGTGCCAATTTGAAAGGTGCTAGCTACCTGAAGCCTTGATATTTCTTATGGCTGCCCCACATTCTATCCCCCAGGCAAGATCAGAATCTGAATTCTCTACCGTCACCACCACCGCTGCCCATCTTGGGCTCTATCTTTGAGGGTTATTTTCTCTTTCACTTATTTTTATTTTTGTCTGTCCCTTCTTGCACTTTGTCAAGAGTCCTCCAATTTCTCTTCACAAATGGTCATCCAAAGGGTTGGGCCCACAGATCATTCTGAATCTTCCTGCCTCTCAGTCACTCCTTTACCCTAAGAACCACCAACATAATAGAAGCCAGGGTTCCCTCCTTTCTCTTTAAACTCATCCTAGTGAGACCTTTGGAGGTTGGTTTTCTCAGCTCCACACCTTCCCCTCCCTACAGTCTTGTCTTCAGTCCTTCCCCACCATTGCAAAGTATCAGGGACAGGAGGTAGTCTCCTGCTTCTCATGTCTTAGGTTGTTTCCATCCCAGACTCCTCCAGACTCTTTCTTCTGTTTTATTTTATTGTACAGTATTTCAATCTTTCACCTGTTTCCTCTGTCTGTCTCTCTCTGTCACACACACAGTTTTAAAGGATGATGGGCATTTACTAAAAGGGACCCCTGGCCCCTACTTTCCCATCTAATATTTTAGGGACTGGGATTGGGTTTGGTTAAAATGTCCTGGTGGGGGTGGGATAGTGGGCTTCCATTTTCCCAGGACCATGGATCTGGACCAATTGGAATTTCTGATATATTGGTCTGTAGCCAAAATTGGAAGAAACTTTCGGGAGACTGGGCAAGACGGGAAACCTGAAGGGAGTATTTAAGGACAGGGGAATAAAGTGCAGATGCAGTTAACATTTGATAAAATGGACTCGTGAATATTAACAGCAAACATTCACTGTTGCACTGTATGAAGTCTCCGAAGTGTAATTAAACGTTTTTATTGAGTCTTTGAGCTTTGCGCTTATTTTGCCCGCTTGCCGAGAAAGTATGTTACGTAAGTGTATCGTTCTTGTATTAATATGTGTGTAACCCTCCGCCTCCGGCAGTTTCCCCTCCCCGCGGCTCGGTGATAGACGTTCGCTGCTTCCAATCGGAGGCGCGCAGTGCCGGGAGCGGCCAATCGGGGGCTTCGGTGGGCGGAGCGGCCGGGCCAGTTAGCTTTGGCGGTTTTATTTCAACATGGCCGAAGCGAGCGGCGTCAACGTAGGCAGCGGCTGTGAGGAAAAAGGGCCTGAGGAGTTATCTCAGGAATCTGCGCGCCCCGGCACTACCATTTCGAGGGTGAAGCTTTTTGACACCATGGTGGACACTTTCATCCAGAAGTTGGTCGCTGCTGGGAGGTAAGGTGGAGGAAGTGAGGCTGAGTGCCAATCTCGCAGTAGGTTGAGGTGGGCGAGAGGCAAAAAGAGGGTTTGTCCCGCCAGAGTCTAAACCCCGCGAGACCAGGACGGCCCCAGGGGAACCAGCCCAGTCACGTGGGTCTGGGGTTCTGGGTTATTTATTGGCAGTCATATTCTACCCTCAATTCCTAAGCCTCCGGAAGTCACGTGATGTTTACTAATACATAATTAGGTAATGTGGAGCACATTTAGGACAAGTAGCTACTCCTTCCAGTAAACCTAGTTATTGTTTTGTTATTTTTTTAAATAATAGATGCACTTATAAATTTATTTATTTTATTTATTTTTGGCTGCGTTGGGTCTTAGTTGCTGCCTGCGTGCTTTCTCTAGTTGCCACGAGTCCGGGCTGCTCTTCATTGTGGTGCGCAGGCTTCTCATTGTGGTGGCTTCTCGTTGTGGTGGCTTCTCTTGTTGCGGAGCAGGGGCTCTAGGTGCACGGGCTTCAGTAGTTGCAGCATGTAGGCTCAGTAGTTGTGGCTCGCGGGCTCTAGAGCGCAGGCCCAGTAGTAGTGGCACAGGGCTTAGTTGCTCCGTGGCATGTAGGATCTTCCTGGACCAGGGCTTGAACCCGTGTCCGCAGCATTGGCAGGCAGTTTCTTTACCACTGCACCATCAGTGAAGTCCGCAGTAAGCCTAGTTTTGATTGTAGGTGGTTGAGGGGAAAGACACAGGCTTTGGAGTTAGATTTAGGGTTCAAGTCATGGCCCAACTTAAAGTGAGCGAGACTTAACTGCTCTGTGCCTGCGTTCCTCATAAATAAAATGGAAACAATAGTACTTTTCTCATAGGGTCGGTCTTTCTGAGGCTTAAATGAGTAAAAACTCGGAAGGCTCTTAGAACAGTGCCGGCCATGTAGAAAGCATTAGACTTCTAGCTGTTGTTATGGAAATAGTAATAACCTTCACTGGGTGGTTGTGAGGACTAAATGTATTACCATAGAAAGAAACACTTCCTCTCTTGATTTCTACTTTATATGAGTAATATTCTAATAATGCTGTTGACCTGAATTGTTGGACACTTTAATCAATAGAAATTGATATGGGTTTCCCTGGTGGCGCAGTGGTTGAGAATCCGCCTGCCAATGCAGGGGACGCGGGTTCGAGCCCTGGTCCGCGAGGATCCCACATGCCGCGGAGCAGCTGGGCCCGTGCGCCACAGCTGCTGAGCATTCTCAAGCCACAACTGCTGAGGCCCGCATTCCTGGTGCCCGTGCTCCGCGGCGGAAGAGGCCACCACAGTGAGAGGCCCGCCCGCTGCAGCGAGGGGAGGCCCCCGCTCGCTGCAACTAGAGAAAGCCCATGTGCAGCAACAAAGACCCAACGCGGCCAAAAATAAATAAAATAAATTAACCCCCCCCAAAAAAAATGAATAAAAGAAAAAATATTTTTAAAAAAATAGAAATTGATAAGAGGCTAGAGGAGAAATTCAGGCAAGGCTTTATTGAGACTCATGCTGCTGCATGAGGGAGTGAAAACAAGTTACAGGTGTCCTTGCTCGTTTTTCTGAGGGGGAGTGAGCTGGTCCCTTAAATGGGGTGAGGGTAGGCGTGGATCCATTGGTCCGCTGGAAAGGTGGCTTAGGTGGTCTGCCCACCCCCTCAGCGGTGCTGTGTGCAGGGATCATGGGCAGTACCCTGCTTTTGCTCCTGACACCTCGAAAGTGACAGTTGGCTTTTTGGTCTTTTTGTATCTTGATCAGAATTTGCACCAACTGTGCATGTATGTAGTTGTTTTTAGTCCCTTATAGTTACTTTGTATTGTTGTTTGAGGAGACATTTGCCTAGGTGCAAGCACTGCAGGAAAGCGTCCCAGGTCCCAGCCTGTCACAACAGTATTGGACACTTTAAAGGAAGAGTTTTGTCCATGGTCCCATACCCCAGAACATTAATGCTGAAACACTTGTTATCAGAACTTTAAGGGGTTTGACCACAGCCTGTTTTGCATCCACCCTCTATGTCCCCACTACCCCTGTTCTTTAATATTGTCAAGACTCTCATCTGCTCCCTATTTCCTTACCTCCTGGTTTTAGGACTTTACCTTTCCTACAAAAACCTTATGATACATCTCTTCACTCACTGATTCACTCAGAAAATATTTGAATGACTATTCAGTGCCAGGC